CATTAGCTTATTATACACTGAATATTAGAGCAAGGAAACAGGAAAGGAATATCTGGAAAGTTTACAGAGACCAAAAGAAAGTAAGAATAAAGCGTTACCTAAAAGAAAAACATTTAATTTCTTCCTTATATTGCTTTAAAATAGGCTTAAAACACCTGGAATATTGTATTTGCTTCTGCAAAGCCAGACGTGGAATCTTGCAATGCCCAACTCCCTCTTTGAGATGCACTCGTAGGGAATTATGGTAGTTGTATTTATCAAAACAAAGTACTTAGTCTGAGATGACAAATACAAATACCATGACTCCCTGCAGGTGCATCTCATAGAGGGAATTGGGCATAAACAGAATAACGTTAATTGTGGTTTAACTTTTGTTTTTGAAAGTAGCAGGCCTCAGACCTAAGGTGACAAGATTGTTAAGAGAAGAGTTCTATTTTGCTTCAAAGGCAAAACAAGCTGTTCTTGATAATGACCGTCTCTAGGCATCACTTTGTTGAGCTGAATAGGTACCATTTCTTGTTGGTAACTTTTAGCTCTAACTATACCTTTAGGTGGTTGTTTTTTCTTCAGTCCTCTAATCTCTTAACTCTGGTTTCAAGCCTAACTTCTTTAACCAAAACACCAACGTTGCTACACATGTTCAGTGTCCAGTTCACGTAATGTAAGGTATATGCTATACTTTATATTTGATTGTGTTTTTTTTACAGTCCCAGCAGTTTTGGAGGAGGTTGAAAATAAAGTTTTCAGAAACGAAGGTAAAAGTGTGGAAGTGTACTGTAATGTGACTGCAGGCGATCCTATTCCGACCGTTCTCTGGGAAAAAGTTAAGACTGGTGAGCGCATTCCCACTGAAAGAAATCTGTTGAACATTACTAACATCAACCAAGCTCAAGCTGGAGAATACAGGTGCACTGCAAACAACACTTGTGGAGAGGCATCTACAGTGGTGGACATTGACGTCCGGTGTAAGTACATAAAATAAGATTATTTAAGACATGTAGTCTTCCTTGGAGATCACTTACTTTAAGGTTCAACAACAAGGGCACAAGTGCTTAGCATCTTGCAAAATGTTTGTGCCTGGTTTTGACTAGGAGTTGTTTAAGTTAGATTGGCCGTCCTATCTAGAAAAGTAACCATTGTACATTCATAGTTGCTATAAACATATTTTCCAGACACAAGTAAATAGCTGCTCTAAGTGAATAATATTAGAAAGATAAGCTTTCAAGGGAAAGGGGTTTCTGACCTGGTTATGGGCTCAAACCGTCTTGAAGGTGGCTGTTAAACATTATATAATCAAAATGAGACACAATAAGCCACTTTCGATATATTAAAATTCAGCTTGATAGTGAGGCTTAGAGGACACAAACAAAAGAAATGAATAAACATGGCCATTCAGTATCCTTTGTTTGTATTCTCTAAGCCTTGCTGCCAAGCTGAATTTTATTATATTGAAAGAGGTCTATTATTGCTACCAGTATTGTAATTTGTACAAACAAGTACTGATTGAAATTACACCTATAGTTAAACAAATTGCAATTGATGAGGTTGGGAAAGGTGCCTTAGGGATGGTGGGGCAGAGAGATGAGCCTTGAGCAGAGCATGCAGGTATCCACGGCAACCCTGAGAGCGGTAACCACCAGGCAACATCACACTGACAGAGTCAGTGGAGATACTTACCACCCCATATACTTACCGTCACCAGTGAAAGGGAGGGAGGTGAGGGAGCAAAAGCAGTCAACAGGTATGAATGGCACTCAAGGCAAACTGCATGTTCTCACACAGCTGCCAAGCAAAACACATAAGCCCTGCAAAACCCCGTATGAGACCCCACCGAGCATGATCGCCCTGAGAGACAGCTGTCAGACATTGGCTCGAGTCAATCTTTGCCCAAATTAGATTTAGCCACTTTTAAACTCATTGCCAATTGATGAGCTTGGGAAAGGTGTTGGAGCTGAGATATGAGCCACGAACAGAGCATGCAGGTATCCATGGCAACCCTAAGAGCGGCAACCATCCAAGAACTCTACGCCCAATAAGGTGCTTGGAAGGGGGAAGGACCCCCGCAAACAGGGGGAGGCGTGGGACCTACACCAACTTCCAACAATCCCTAGCACCTTCCACCAGCTCAAGCAAAATCTGGACACTTACGCTCACCAAAGACAAATACGCACAGGTAGCCGAAATGGCAAATCGAGGGCAAAGCCAAGCTGGGACAATGTGAGCTAGTAGCGCATATCTGCCTCGCCAAGTTGCAAAGGTATGGCCCATGAGCGCAAGGTACGGATGCCTGTAATATCCAATAGGCCAGGCTGCAAGGCCAGCCAAGATCCCAGAACAGGGAACATGCATCTGCATTCACCTGTTGAGTCCAATGAGCCAGGCCGGGAGATCAGCACAACGTTCAGGAGGCCATATTCAGTAGGCCAGGCTTTGTGATCGACACAGGTGGAAAGCACAGATATGCAAACGCCTGCCATATCCAATATGCTAGGCTGGGTGATCGGTGCAAACCTAAAGCACAGGTATGCAAGGCCTGCCATATCTAATAGGCCGGGCTGCAAGATCGGTACACCGTATCAATTGTATGCATTGTGATCGTATACATGCATTTTACCATGGTCTTAATGTACATTTACGTAATGTCCACATTGTATTTAAGGTCGTGTCACCCGTGAAGTGTTTTTGCATAATTATTGATTCTGCTGTACCATACATCATCGAGTTATGATTCATCATTAGATTTTGATGCACACTTACATATACCGAGTTGATGGCATGGTTTGATAGCTATGTTATAACTTAAGATGAAGGTAATTTTGGCAGCATGACTATTTACTGCACTGAATGTAAAATATAAACTATTGGTTTTTAGTGGAAAAGTAATTGTGTTTTCAAAAAATATCAATCAATACCTGAAGCATACAGGGTCTGAGAGACACAGACATCTAATCTAGAGGAGGAAGGAGATTCGCGCAGAGCTGCTCTTCCAGATAATTCCTTTTACGAACAACAATAAATATTTTAATTAACAAACACAAATGTCCTTAAAAAATGTATGTGTTAAGACCCGGATACATGATGCAATATTGCGTACAATAGTGCACGTAATGGCTAAATAGCATTATGTATCCACCTCTGAAATTGTTGGGCGCAATATTGCAACAGTGTAATTCGTCCTACTTCTGCAGCATTGCACACAACAAATTTCTTCGTGTATCCACCATCTTCAACATTCCGTGGAAGTGTGACGCAAATTTCAGTTTTCTGCTAATCAAATCTCATATTCAAAGTTAACCGCTGACCCAAACCTCACCTGTCATTCGTTTTACATAAATTCATCAAACATTGCGCGTACTGTTGCACAAAATGTTGCAACCGTGTAGCCACGTGTTGCGCGTAATGTTGCACTGTGTATGCGGGCCCTAAGTTGTACATTAACCAACGTACAGTGTAGTGCGTTTTGCAAACACCACATGTGATGTAGTTGGTATACTTGTAAACTTGACTCAATCAGTTAATGTGAAAAGCAGCATTCCTGATTGAGTTTAGGCAGTTCAAACTTGGTATGGTGTCTCTCTGAAAATCAAGACGTGCCATGTTAAAAGTGGCAGGACTGGTTTCTTTCCAGCACTGGTATAATTGACAGTAGCTTCTGTCCATAGAGCGGTGAGGATTTGGTTGGTTTCTGACATCAGCAGGATTTTGAAAAGTGGACTGTGATGTTATAAAAAAAAACATTGTAAAAATATGTACATAGATACCACTGAAAAGCTTCGTTGAATTTCGTACCACAATTGGGAGAATATATCATTAACTGTGTGGTCATTAATTGAAGAGGATGTTGGGCCATATGGTGAAATGAAAGTTGTAAATTTCAGTCTCTGTTTATTGCAACCTTTATGGTTAGTTGCTTTGAACTCTGTTAATGAATGATAGCGTAGCTACAGCAGAGTGAGTTATAGCAGTTAGTTAGGGAAGAAATAATTCAACATTGACTGGGACTCTGCTCAGTGCTTAAAATACAGTACAAACTATTAACTCCAAGTGAAGTGATGCTATACAACAATGAAACCTAGAGGGTGTACTAGTACATACACTTCCAGAAATGTTTCCTTTGCAATTGGTGTTGGCAAGAAGATATAATGGAGTCATGTCCGTGGGAATTACATAATACCTAAATAGCAGCCATCTTGCATAGATTCACGTTTCATCGTGGATTTCGTTACATGATGTTATAAAACCACCAAAGCTGACTGTAATAAAAGGCTGCCAAACAGATCTGAAAATGTAAAGTTCATATCATGATAGTTCAGAATTTGAAAACATACCTGTAGGATGTAGGGTCAAGCAGGCTTTTTAACATTACACTGTACCTATTATCTCCTTCGCCACAATGATGATTACAGGGAACAAAGCTAGTTCTCACTAAAAGTATTCTTTCGTCTGTGTGGCTGATTTGAATGGTGACACCAAAGTGTAATGGAAACACGAGAGAACATTGAACAGAACAGCTAGGTTTCATCTCAAAAGTTCCAATGCCATACAGAATTGCAGGAGCTCACAGTTTGTTTTGAGATGGATGTTCCAATTAAGCCTGTTCGTTATGATTCTGTGCTTGCGTGTCTTTGTCTGGATTGTCAATTGTATGATGTAAAGCAAATGGTTCGTGCTGATTTGTCTTCGTCTTGTTTTTTTTGCCTGGCTCTGGTTCTGTTCCTGCCGTCAACTCTGCTGGTGCTGTTGCTGTTCTGGCTGTCCAAGCCAGTTGTCCTGTTGCTTCCGTTGCTGTTTCGCCTGTCCGTTCTAGTTGTCGAGTTGCTTCCGGTGCTGTTTCGCCTGTTCGCTCTAGTTGTCCTGTTACTTCCGCTGCTGTTTCGCATGTTCAGTCTGGTCGTCCTATCAATTCCGTTGCTGCTTCGTCTCCTGTTACGCCTAGCTGTCCTGTAAATACTGATCCTTCTCGTGTGTGGTCTGGTCCTGTTCCGCCCAGTCGCCCTGTTGGTCCAGTTGCTGCACCGTGTCGCTTATTGCCCAGTTTTCGTTCGCCTGTTATCCGTCCTTCGTTGTTGCTGAGTTGCCGTCCGGTTTTCGCCGTGGCTTGCTTTGGTTTGATTGTGCTTCCTGTTTTGGTGCCCGCTCCGTTTGGTTTCGTTCTCTCGTTTTTGCCTGTGCTGCGTTGAGTTTGGACTGTTTGGTTTTGCGTGTTGAGTTTGGACTGTTTTGTTGTTGTTGTTTTTTGGTCTCGGTTTGTTTTGGTTGCATATTGGTGGCGTAACTATTCTTATAGGATTAGTCTGTTGACAGGTGCCCCTCTTTTGGGTTCACCTTTCGCCGTTGCTTTGGAACAGTGTATGTTTGTCCTGTTGTCCGATGCTTTTTTGGCTGGTCGTTCCTCGTTTGTTTGTCTCTATGATTTTTGTTTGTAGGGGCGGGGTTCGATCCCCCGGTGAGTTTGACGTGCTGGTGCACCCCCGTTTCTGGCGAACCGTTGTGGTCTGACGGATTAGTCTTGTTGACTGGCAGGCATTGCACTCTCCCTTTTTGGGAAGCCTGGCCATTCGCCTTAAACATAAAACATTGTCCTTAACATGTTTGTCTCAATTATCATTAGTACATAATTATGTAAAACTATGCAGTTCACCAACGTGTCCATGTACAGCCATTCACGGGTCGTATCTGTTCGACAAGTGTGTAGTCGTTCTGGCGTGGATTCATTGTTTATTTCGGTTTATTTGCCTGAAATTGTGTGTATTTAAGGTGCATGAAACTTGGATTATCGTGTAATTGATAAGCTCATCAAGACCCGTGTTGTTTCTGGAATAAACTCGAGTGTGTACTGTGTTGTTTGTTTGGGTGAAAGCACTCTTTTATTGTCAATTGCAAACAACGTGTATTGACACAGTCAAAGGAGCTCAAATCGAACCAACGAGTGTACTTTGTGAGTAGAGTTCTTATATAGAAAGAAACTTCAAACAAAGCAAATATGAATAACATTGTGTCTAGATATTAGATAAATTATGGCTCCTGCTACAATACAATCTAAGTACGTGTACGTAAGGCAAGAAGTGCAAAGCCATACTATTCCAAGAGAATAAATCTGTAATCACGGCTTTGGCTATCTGCACTGTACCTAAGCGTTTTTATGGTCTTGACTGAAATTTTTTTGTAACATAAATGGACTTTTACACACTCGAATGTCAAGCAAGGAGTCATGATACTGCTGTATGGCCACTTATGCTCAATAACCCTGAAATGTAAACACAGCGTGACATTGTATTCAGTTTCCAGTAGTTTGTTTATAAAGGGAAAAGAAATTCACTTTTCAGATCTAGCCCAAAAGGAACATTTTCCTGACATACAAAAGTACACAGAGCAGTTAGAAACTTTGTATCGGTACGATACAAAAGATTATACTTTTTTTTGAGCTCGATCGTTGAAAGCCATTAAAACCAAAACTGTCAATTGCAACCCAACAAATAGTTTTCATCTGTTCATTGGAGGATAATGACACCAAGGTGACTCAGGTGCAACTGTGTTTTTTCCTTTTTTATTTGCAAATGGTGTTAGTATGATTGTAAAGGTCTGTCGTTTTTTTTTTATTTATGTAACCGCCTTAGACAACATATTATTTGGTAAATCAAACAGTTCAACGTGGCAATCCTATTCTGCAGATGAGCCAGACATAGTTACCTTGGTAACTAACACAACTGAGAACAAGGACTGTAGTCCTGATTTGTGGGTGAATTTCACGTGCATCTCATCTGAAGCCAATCCACCAGTTTATAATTATCTGCTCTCTGATAATGAAGATGGATCCAGGTTTAGTAAGAGTGGTACATGGATAAAGAAGATATCAAGAGGAGGAAAATTTGTCTATAGTTACGCAGCATATCAACTTTTGGTGAATAAGACAAGCATAAACAACATTACTTTGACAGTAAATGGTAAGTTTGGATTGTTCTGACAGATTTCTTAGAACTCAAATACGAAGAAATCCTGCTAATGAAAAACTTCCATTTTACTTGAATATAACATACAGTCTTTATCTACAGTGATTCGCTTTGCCTCAGTTATATTAGCTGTCAGCTGCAAACCTTTTCCCACAATTTTGTTCCAGTTCCTATATCTATCGATCAGCCGAAAGAGACAATTGTTGAGGAAGGTGTCAATGTTGAAGTTTACTGTAATGGAACTGGCATTCCTGATCCGACTGTTATCTGGACTAAAGTGCAGGGTGCACATGATGGCTTCAATTCCAAAGAGGGAAAACGACTGAATTTCAGTAACATCACTAGAGCTCAAGCTGGAGAATACAGGTGCACTGCAAGCAACACTTGTGGAGAGGAGTCTAAAATGGCAAACATTGATGTGCAATGTAAGAACATAATTTTTTTTTGACTTAATAACCTTACAGTAATTAGCTGGAAAGTTGGTGTCATGGTAAATGTTTCACTTTTATCCATAATTCAGTTATAACTGTTAGGTACCCTAGGCTTATAACAGGTACACTGTGCGGTTATCAGTGCATTTGCACTGCACGGCTGGGGAAGTAGAAATGTCTTGACAGTCTATTGTTCACATGCACTTAGTATTTTATTCGTTAATTATCTGGTCCCATATCTGTGTGGGACGAGGTCCCAGTTCATAGCAATTATTACTCTTTCTTTTTTTTGATTCCTTACCAAACGAAATGGTATTGTTTTCATTTCAGGGGTAAACTATTTACATAGTGGCGATTACTTGGTAATCTAAAAGTGTTCTTTCTAGACCAACAAATTAGTGAACTTGTGTTGTTCTTTAAAAATAGCAAGTAACGGATGTTAAAATTTGTCACTTAATTGCAAGTTTTTATGACTGAGGTGATTTTAAGCCAGATTGAAACATGGTATGTGTAAAAATAAAAAGATATTCCTCTCCATTTTAAGAGGCTGTCTCTGTAAAAACCAACCACTGATTTTACTTCGAAAATTCGATTTTTCTCATAAGCTGGGATTTCGAAGCCCTTATCTGGTCAATCACTAAAATGAGTTTTATTTGATTAAAAATTCTAATTGAATTTTTCTAGGATTGATTGAAGTTTGGTCCGCTTAACACAAGTTGCGTGCCTGCCAAAACTGGAAAAATAGCACATATTGTCGGTGTTCTAAAAAGATGTGATTGACTAGGTAAGGGCGTCGAAATCCCAGCTTATGAGAAAAATCGAATTTTCGAGGTAAAGTCAGTGGTCAGTTTTTACAGAGACAGCCTCTTAGGTGGTAATGTAAACGTGCGGCACAATTTTCGCCAAAATTCAGTGCATCACGGCAAAATGTAGAATTCTGTACTATTTCAGCTGTTGCCTCGTTCGAAAATAGGGAATAATGCTTGAAATGTTCGGTTATTTGACCTTTCTTCCATGAGCCCTTGTGGTATACATCGTGTAACAAGCCAGGCGTGTAGTTCCGAGTGTTTTAATAATCTTATATCTAACTTATGCAAATTAAATGGAATAACATTGTTTTGCTAAATTCTTCAATCGCATGGGTGATGTGGACATTTCACTAAGATGTAAACGAAGTGATGTCATGAAAAGAGGGCAAAATTTAACGTGTGTTGTTCATGTAAGATGTCATGAAATGAGCGAGACGTAATATATCAAACTTGAAAGACCGTGTTTGATCACATTTCCAAACACTGAGAAGAGAGTTGAAAATACGACGTGCAGCGGAGTGTTTTTGGCGAACTTCGTGGTGTTTGGAAATGTGGTCAGACACTGACTTGAGTGTTTGATAAGTCTTCTCAATCGATACTTCATGTCTTTGACAGGAACAATATCACCAGAAGTAGCTTCAATCCTTCTGATTCATCTGCAGCTCTTTTTCGTTTAATACAAGAACTTAAACGATCTATATTGTTATTGAAACTTTTTTTTTTATTGAATTTACATATTAACTGAAATAATAAATAGAAAAAAGAATTACAAGCACAGTGTAACAAGAAGCATTCTGTAATTATGTGTAATATTTATAGTGGCCTCCATCAAAACGCACCAGAATGCACGTCAATGCGCATAGATTCTCCAAATTGTCCTAGCTAGCACCTCATGCACCCCCCNAGGTAACCCTTTCTGGCACTCTACCCCACATGGCTGCCTTTACCTGACCCAATAGTGCTCCACCTAATTTACGATTTCCCCTTGCTACTTTAGTTCAATTTGAAAACCTTGACTGTTAATTTAGATTGGCCCTGATGGTTGCTTTTCTAACCACATGTAACAACTCTGTCTGAGTAACAAACAAGGTCAAACGCGTTTCTGGGCTGCATATGAGTTCAAGCAATTTTAATTTAAAAGTGACCTTAATATATTTTCAACACAGTTTAACTAAAAAATAATGAAAATTAACCGATAACATTACTATGTTGTCGGTCCGACATTTTCCAAGGATCAGACCAGGCACTGTCCTGAATGATCTCACAAATCTACAAGGGACGTTTGCAGGGTCAATTATTGGATCATTTTAAAAGTATTGGTTAGTGTGCTGGAATTCAGTCTGAGATTGTGTGCTCACTGGTGTAAGAATGGGTAATCAAAGAATACAATGTTGGGGGTAACCCTGCGATGGATTAACATCCCACCTAGGGTGAATTAAATAATCCTAGTTGCCTTATACTGCACTATATTGAAACGTGAGATAAGCATCAGTCTTTACCTTACCGTTTTTTCTAACATAGAAAACTCACACAGAAAAGATTCTTTTTCTTGTTGTCCCAGCTTCAGTGATTTTCCTTAAAGCCCACGTTTACGTGACTGTACATTGCATATTTGTACGCAAAGATGGCAGTGTGTGTGCTAGCCATTTGAATACTTGCACAAAAGCAAAAGTAAACTCTGTAATTACTTTGCGTTTAAGGAAAAGCCGTGAATTTCCTAATGGGGAAATAGCGGATCGCACGTAATTTAAATGGTTCTTTGGGATTCTCATTATAGTCACTATAGTCAGCTTCTGTCTTGAAATGCAGTTTTGACATACTCCTCCCAACTGTAACTAGGATCGTTAACCTGTCGTTGTCTTGTTGAGTCATGCCAGCCACCTTGAAGATTGCTGTTCTCAAGCCCTGCTTGAAGAAACCGTCCCTTTATCACGAAAAGTATTCTAGTTTTCGCCCAATTTCAAATATGAAACTTGTATCAAAAGCTATCGAAAAGACAGTTGCTACTCAAGTGATTAACTACATTGAAGAGATGAAATATAGATGAAATGTTTCAATCGGCTTATAAAGCCAACCACAGCACGGCAACTGCCTTGGTAAAAGTTCAAAATGACGTGCTGCGAGCCTTCGACGGTCAACGGTCTGTAATACTACTCCTACTTGATTTATCCGCGGCGTTTGACACTGTGGACCGCACCATCCTGCTGACTCGTCTCTCACAGGAATTTGGCATCAAAGGTACTGCACTCAGCCGGTTTTCTTCATATCTTTCAGACCGGAAGCAATTTGTTTGTGTTAACGGGGCCACATCCTCGCATCGTGATCTACCCTACGGGGTTCCCCAAGGTTCCATTCTGGGCCATCTGCTATTCCCTATGTACACAGCACCTCTGGCTGTTTTTTTCTTCAGTCATTCAAATCAACCTTTTAATTTGCCATCGTAGAACGCAAAGGATACAGAAGTATGTCAGAAGTGTCAAATAAAAGATAAGAAAGTGTTAAAATCATCTAATAATAAAGCATTTAAATATACACATATATTAACGTTTAAAGGTGTCTCGATACAGTTTTTTCCCAAGCATTTTCGATCAACTTCCCTTAGTCGGATCGATATGAAAATTAAACCTGTCTTTGGAAACGGATTGAAGTTTGATATTATATATTTCGCAAGGCAATCGATATTTCCCTGGAAACGATAAACAAAAAATTGAAAATCGGTAGAACCTGAATTTTGCGCGAACCAGATGTGATATGAAAAGGCTAATACCAAGGGCTTAAACTAGGGTGTATGACAAACAGAATACACAAGAATTAAAAAAGTATGTACGTTTGATCTGGAGTAAATTACCAAAAACATGTCAAATTATACTTTTTGTCTCATAATAGTAATGGACCGACAGGTAAACACTGTTTTGATGACATCGCTTCAAATAATACCAAAATGTGTCTTGAAGTCATGTTTTGAAGCCAT